GGCGCCGGCGCCCCCCGCCTGCCCACGGCCCCGCTGCGCGCCCCCCGCGGCAGCCGGGGCGCCGCGCAGGGCCAGCCGGGCCGGTGCCCCGCCGCCTGCCCGCCTGCGCCTCTGCCCGGGGCAGGGAGCCGAGTGCGTGGCACGGCACGGACCGCCGTTCCCGTGCTCCGTCCTCACTTACAATTCGCTTTTTTCCTTTATTTTTTAAGAACGAGTTGCCCAAAGCAAACGCACCTGGTCCCAGAAGGCTGAAAACTCGGGTTAAAAGTTTTGCTCAGAGACAACTAATAACCGCTGGAGCGAGAGCCGCCTGCTAAACAAGTTCAATGGTAAGACTTTTTAGATCTCGCTGCAGAAAAGAAGGGAGAGACCGTGCTGGCAGCACCCTGCCCCGTCCTTCAGACGGCAAGGGCTGCCCCGTCCCAGCCGGACGCGGTTCACAAGCGCCCTTTCTGCAGTCGACCCCTTTTCTTTCTCGAATACACCTTTAATATCGCGATTAGGAAGAAACTACACAGGCTTCGCCTGCGACTCTGCGGCGTGCTTTTATTTCCCTCACTCCTTAAAAATGCTCCCCCCAAATCGCTTTTTTATCTTCCTTTCTCTTTTTAAAACCTTTATCTTGCAGATTTACAGAGCTGCTCCGAGAAGTAAAACATGTATTGTCTGAACGGTTCGCTTGGAGATTAAAAGTGCATTTCAGATTCCATTAAGTGCATGTAATTTATGAGATCACGTTTTCTGCACCCGAGAATAGAAAATACACTAACACGTTTCACTACAGGGTAAAACTAAGCATGAGGAAGTCGCTCAAAACAAAGTTGGTACCCAATATGGAAAGATTTGCACAGTTGAGAAGAGGGGGAAATCCCCACCAAACTCAGAGTCAACTTTCCTCTTGCTCTTTAAGATGTACGCACAATGACGAAGACTATGCTAGCATTCACGCAGTTTAATTAATACACAACAGAGCTTCATGAAAACTTTCAAAACAAACTCCGCATCTGAAATGAAATTAAACGAATATGCGTTTTGCTTGGACATGTGCTTATGGATCGCTGGTGTGGTATATCGTTTGTGTGTCCAACAGCTTTCCTTAAACAGATATTTCGGGGGGGGCAGGACAACAAAAATAAATAATTTTAAGAAACCTGAGGATAAGAGAAGGTGTTTGAAGCAATAGAAAAAAGTGCACATGCTGAAGCCATGTTCCAGTGTTTTAACAGGGAGAGATCCCTGTGCTCTGAATGTTACTAATAAACCTGATTAATTTAGTTCATCTAGTTATTTTAACCCCGTGAATTTCCTCGGTTGTATGGTAGCTACAGATACAGGAATAACACACAGGCAGAACCGATTTCTAAAATCACGAACCTCTAGTCGATACGGATGTTTAATAATAGGGGCGGCCCCCCCCCAAAAAAAAAACAACTTTGTAATTGGCAACAGCAGTATTAAACGTTTTCTAACCACCAAGTGCTAAATGAATTCTGACACTCAGGCAGACGATCTTTTTCATCTAGAAAACCAGCTTTTCTTATTAAATGACCATGTCATGCTTTTCGGTAGGGGTGAAAACTAAAACCAGCGAGGTGTTAAGGAGGTCTGAAAGGAAAACGATACTCCGAGATAAGAGGGAGGAAAACTTTGTCCTAGTCCATCTGACGAAAACTGCAATTTTTCCCCTGCCCTGCTCGGAGGAGTAATTGATTTCTGGATACTCCGCGAAGCCCGGGCTTTCCAGGCAGGAACGGAGTGATACAAGCAAGGCGAGAAAGGACCGGTTTTACAGCAAGTTACTCTGAACCGTTTCTGAACCGATTTTCCCAAGCAGCCCTCCGAGAGGAATCTATCCCCACAGCAGCCTTCCCGGCGAAGTGTGCCTTCCAGGGAAGGACCTGGGTCTCAGACAAGAAAAGCCATTACCGAGGGGTTACCGCCCGCCTCCCGAAAGCACTGGGAACAACGCAAAAGCAGCTCAAGGGAGGGAAGGGCAGGGCGGAGGATGTTCCTCATGGAGAGAGCGGAGCGGGCACGGACGGCGGTCCCCCGGCTGGGAGCGCCCTAGGCTGGCCCGCTGCGGGGAGCGGCGGAGGACGGGGACCCGGGGACTGCGAGAAGGGGCACGGTACGTACGGTTGTTGGGGTCACTGGTGTGCTGGTTCAAGGGGATGATGTCCATGCGCTGCTGCCCGTACAGGTAGTAGTCCAGCTCCTCGGCCGTGCAGCGGGACCGAG